CTAATTTTATTGTTTCCGCAAAAAAAATTAAGAACAAGATAAACTGAGTGATGTATATACTATGTGATCAATTCTAGCAAAAGCTATGGAATACATTTTATTCTATGCGACTGTCATACAAGTGAGAGGTTTAGCTAGCTATACAACCAGGTTTAATCCACCATTTTCTACATAAGGAAATGCCTGTACCAAGTCAGGAATATATGACAGTTGTTTTCCATTCGTTTGATGTGTTTGAGGTTTTGACATTTGATAAAGGACTTTCTGTTTTGAATTTTCCTTGGAGTTTGGTATTTTTGTTATTTTACTTTTTTCTATAAAAACAGTAATGTTTATTATTAGGAAATCCTATGTCATTTTTTTCAATATAAAACAGGAGATGCTGACTTGGTTGTCAAACAATGACTATAAAAGAGAGGAAGCGTATATTTGGTTCAATAAAAACAGATAGTTGTGGTAATTCTTGTCTTTTGTTAGGGGAAGCCCCATCGATAGCTTTTGGTTAAAGGAAGTAGTTTTTTATTTATATTTGTCAAAGTAAATTCAAATTGTATAGTAACTTTTGTTATGAATACACAGAAAGGACCTACACTTTTAGAATGAATTTAAGAAAAAAAAGATGAAAAGGAATTAGTCTGAAGTTTGTGCATGTATTGTTTTTCCAGATTTGAGGAGTCTTGCATTTATTGTTATTGCACGGTGCCTTTTTTACCGTTTCCGAACCCCGCTCCCTTTAAGATAAAACCGTTTTCTATTGAAAACTCTTAAATGTTTCAAATCTATCCCATTACAATATTCTGTCCTATCCTAAATCGAACATTTCTCATGTCTGAATTATCTATTCTGAAATCAGAAAATCACTGAACAAATCTTTGTTTCATTTACAAAAATATTCATTATTTATAACAAGGATATTTCGTATGCCCTTTTCGCGTTGGGGAAATGCGAAATAGGGTTTACGATTGAAAAAAATTGTTTTATAGTTATCAGATAGAAAAAGTCTGCTTTCACTTGCTTTTTTGTTTCTTTCGGTTTAATTTTTTTCTCTGAATTTTATATAATAAAACACCCTAATTCTGTTCATTTTGATGACATTGAACTCATGAAACAGGTAAATATCACAACCTTTACGTATTGGTATTGTTTAGAATATTTTTTACTTTGATGCTTTGAATCAGATGCAATTTACCCGAAATAATTTTGAGGAAACGAATTTGAAAAATTTGAAAAATGAATCTATTCAAATTTTTCAGTAATCTCATTAATTCATAAGTGGAAAAATATTTTACAGCTCGGTAATTTAATGAACTTTATTTCCTTTTTATCTAAATACATTTTGTAAATAGTACTGAAACAGAAATTTTCTTTAGAAACGTTTTTGTGTCATCCGTTTAAGATTAAACATTTTATTTCCAATTTAGTGTAGCTAAAGGGTTCTGTTTTCCAAGTCAATGCAGTTGATGGTTCAATTCTATCATTATGAAATCCATTTGTGGCGTGTGTCCTGCTGGGGGTCAAAACCCAATTATAAGGTCATCGTTCATCCGTCGGGTAGGGGTCAGTTATGGTCACCTTGAAGCAGTTGGCCAGTCCAAGGAAATTACTTTCATGAATTTATAGCGTTAATTTTCGACCCTTTTGGTTGACCATCAAAACGAGAGTCGTGGACTGAAATGAAACCCCGTCTTTAAAACAAAATTAATGCTGATTGGGAAATAATTGCAAATAAGGATTTTATTGTACAGTAATTGGTTTTATTTAACATGGCTATAATGAAAGTTTGAAAATACCGTATTTGCCGTCTACAACTATGACTGCAAATTGGGGGATTAAGAATTTGAGATAATGTACATAAACAAACAAATCCTAACGAAACGACTCTCCTTAATGTATTTTTAAGTAAAGTATTGTGTTGTAACAAAGATCTGAATAAATAATAATCATCGAGTTACTTTATTGACCTCGACATAAGACGTGTCTAAAGGTAAAATATCTATCATCTACCTTTTGTTCGGGTTGACGAGGATATCAATGTTGGGGGCGAAAACAGACAGGTATAATGTAAAACCATTAAAAAAATCAGTAAAAAATTAAAGCTGTGCAAATTTTAGCAGCTTACTGCATGGCACGAGTAATTTAATTGTAATTCATTTATCTATATATATGACAATGTGTTTTATTTATCTTAAGGATTTACAATGTGAACAACTTACATTATATTATTGGATTATTATGTATCAACTAAAAATTAATTTCACAAATTGTCAAAAAATAATTCTTCAAAATAACAGATTAAATGAAAACTTATAGTACAATTTCAATGATTAGAAAAAAAAATACATGTAGGTGAATATGCCATAAACTACAAATAATTACACAACTTACATGTTTATGTATACATTATAAGTTACTTGAACATTTTATAGATTGAACGTATAAATATTTCGACCAAACTACAAAATACTTGAAAATTAACCTGATTTAGGATTTAAATCTACTGATTGAATAAACAATTAAAATGAAAGAAAATGTGTTGGTTGTTGCAGATCAACCCAAAGCAAACACACACATATCAACTTGTATATCATTTCATTTTTAAAAAATCTTCAATATATACAGAGAACATTGTATGCATTGTTTTACTGTGCGTACTGTTGTACGTTTGTTTTTTCTACATTGGCTAAAGGTATAGGGGGAGGGTTGAGATCTCAAAAAACATGTTTAACCCCGCCGCATTTTTGCGCCTGTCCCAAGTCAGGAGCCTCTGGCCTTTGTTAGTCTTGTATCATTTTTAATTTTAGTTTCTTGTGTATAATTTGGAGTTTAGTATGACGTCCATTATCACTGAACTAGTATACATATTTGTTTAGGGGCCAGCTGTAGGACGCCTCCGGGTGCGGGAGTTTCTCGCTGCATTGAAGACCCATTGGTGGCCTTCGGCTGTTGTCTGCTCTATGGTCGGGTTGTTGTCTCTTTGACACATTCCCCATATCCATTCTCAATTTTAAAGAGATGAAGATGACGTATAGGTTTTAATTTCTTGAATCAGCTTTGTTATTGTAGAAGCTCTGAAGTCACATCCTTTCTCATTTTTTCAAACCCTTTTATTGTCTTGTACATGTTTAATTTCTATTCTATAATACGTGTCGTATACGCCAATTAAAAGTAGGGTATACTGTATAAAAAATAAAACAAAAACGGTTTAACAAGTGCTTGAAAGCAACACTACTTACGCAAAAAAATGATTAAGTCAGCGTGTAGTTAATTATTATGCAGATTTATGGGATTTTAAGAATACACAGCTTGCATTACATAGTAGCATGAAGTACATTATTTACATGTAATCATTTCTGTAATATGAATCAGTTCATTTTCACAAATATTCTTTCATTGTATGTATAAATATATGTTGAATACTGACAGAACGAAGATAGTTTAGATTATGATAATTTGAATAACCTATAATATTATGAAATAATAATATTTGAAATCTCACTCATTAGCTAAGATTGATTGATTGTTGGTTGCTTAACGTCCAGTGGCAAATATTTCATGCATGTTAAGGACGAAATTAGCTTAGAGATGCACACTGTAAATGAATATCCTGATATTCCACACAAATTTATGAATACCATCTTAGAATAAATAACTATTAGATCATTCGTAATTTTTAAGTTTTGTTTTCGTTTCTGCATATCTTGTGAAGCGCACTTATCTTTCATCATATAAGCATGCTGATTTATCCCATAAATGATTTAACATTTTTTCGGTTCCAAATATTACAAATAGATATTGATTTTTGCTATTTTTTTGTCTCTTACCTAGCAAGCATTTCGTAGTTATAATGTTCGGCTTCTCAAAATGTTCCTTTTGATATACATTATAATGAACAATACATGAACAACTCAGTTTTGCCATTTTCTACAATATTCATTAAATTCCAGCTTTATTTGACATTGAACTGAAAGATATGTTACCAAAATTGAAAATGCACGGACCGTGCATATTAAAGGACGTATGATGACCTATAGAGGCTGACACCCACGTTATTTTGACTATGGTGGATATTTGTATCATTTGAAATCATTCCACATCTCTTTATTTTTCATATCATACCAAAGATGCAATGTTGAAATCTGCGTGAATTGGCAGATCTACTTTACGGTTGAACTTAAACGAAAGAACTTCATGGTAGATATACCTTAACCAAATATTTAACGACCATTTACTTAAATAGATGTTCCTCGTTTTGTCATATTAAGGAAAATATTATACATCATGAATTAATAGTATGGTAATTCAAGGTCATGTGCATTAAAATCATTAAATCAGTTTATATCAAATTATATAATCATGTGTGCACGTAGAAAAATAAGTAAAAACATATAGAATATCTATTTGAAAAGCATCAATATCGAGATAGATATAAGTGATAAATTTGTATCTATTTACATTGGAAACATATGTTGTTTTCTTGGTTGATTTTTAATTGCACAATTCAAATTTAGTTATTTTACATTTAGAATTATTCGATAATGTTCTGACATCATTTTTCAATAGGTTTTTTTTTTGTAAGAGCTTGCTCGTCAGTTTGAAATAATCGAATATATGCACAATTTCATAATAGTTATTAATTCATTTTTTTTTTATATGTTCAATAAAAACCTATAAAAAGTATTCATATCTGCAAATCTTTTGTTAATGTTAATAAAAGATGCACACATTTTCTTCATATAATTTGGCATTATGTGCAATAAAAAATGTAATCTCTCTTGTGATTGGCAATCGTAAGCAATAGCTTTTATTATTAAAACAGTAAATATTGAACTTTTTCCGTTATTGACCCGCCTCCCGGTTAATCAAACCATCAGGTCGCGTTTGATTGGTTAAATATGAGAAGTGAATTAATATCCATTAAAGGTAATTCCTTATAAAGGTTTGATGTGATATGATACCTAATCAATTCATTGAACAAATTAGCTTTATCCGGTTTTCACATCTTTCTCCGGAAACAGCTTGGAAAAATATTTTGTTACAAGAGTTTTATCGTTATTGAGTGAAAAATTAACAATAAGAGTTAAAAAGTGTCGTTTATGCAACATTGATATTGCAGAGAACTTTTTATTTTTACATAAAATAGATAATCAAATAAAAACTTGAGTTCGGCGACAATGTTTCCGAATATTTTAGCTCCATCGCCGTTATACCAAAGTTTGTTTAGAAATGGACAATTAGTTCCTCAGCCACCAATGGTGACAACGTCAGCATCATTTCTGGTGGAAAATCTTCTTAGGGATAGAAATCAAGCATTGCTTGCTCGTCAAGGTCTTCCGCCATTCACTTGTTCTACAACATTTTCTCCAACATTACCAGAGAATTTACAAGCTACACCGGTAACTTCATCAGCGTCACTGAACGCCATCAATCCAGCACCGTATCTGAAGTTTGGCGTCAATGCAATTCTTGGAAGAGAACCAACATCTCCAAAATCAGGTAAGTTCAACGTTCAAATTTCTTAAATTCCAGCTTAGTAAAAGAAATGATAATTATTTCTGATTTGTTTAACTAACAATAATATTGCTCTTGTTATTGTCTGTAAATTTTGATGGCTAAATTGTCTTTTGTGTCTAAAATAAATCAATGAATATTTTTTTCAAATAATTTTATTTTCCTTGCTGTTAAATACCTTATCTTTAAATGACTTCAGAGCTGCAATCGAAATTTTCTATAATTTTCATTTCAAATATTAATCACAGTGAAATAAATATCAAATTAGTTTGTAGGTTCCGGTGCTATCTCATTGCCATCAACAACTCTTTTTATTGATAAAATTTTATTTTGGAATATCATCAAAATTAAATGTTTCATTCCTTTTTTATTTCTCATATTTAGTTGTTATATTGGTGAAATGTAATACAAATGTAGCTTCAAACCATAAATATATTTTGAATATACAATTTAACTGTTTCATTGTTACAGAAAAAAAAATGTAATTGATTCTTTTATCCATTTACTGGTAAATTATAACGTGGTATTACAAACGTCACATTATACTGAAAATGTGAAATTTAACTCTAAATGACAACCATATCAATTGCATTTCAATCCTAAGTTCTTTAATATTTCAGAGGAAAAAGTTGAATCGACCCATCCTGCTCGAAACGTTTACAGTTGCCAAAGCAGTATCCCCACGTCTCCATCGAAAGGCTGTGGTTACGTTGGCCATGGGTTATCATGTGTGGGATGCTCACCAAGACAGACATTTTATGAAGCACAGTTTCCAAATATGTTCAGAAATTCTTATTTTCCAGGTGAGACATAGTCATATTTTATTGATTTATGATATTTGCAGCATTTGTTTGAGGCACATGTACCTCAAATTAACAACCGGTATTTTATATAGAGAATCAATTATAAGTTTAAACTGTATCATTTTAAAATGACTTTTATCGCCAAGGTTAATTAACAACGAGACTTTTAACTAATAAATTTCTTCTTCTAATTGATAGTAATAAATTTTGATTATTATCATAACCATGATTATATTTATTTCTCCTTGGGTTTAAAAGAAAATATGTCTATAAACCCAAATTGACCGTTACATTTGCTTTCGGCCAAGTATCCAGTACGTGCAAATTGACAGATAGAATTTTTTGGGATGAAAAAGTCACAATTTCACCCAAATTAGTATTCATGTATTATCCCTATCTTTAAAAACAATCAAAATACTCATAAAATTAACATTTCAAATATGAAATTGGCGCCACAATAAAATTTAACATTAACATCTATAGTTACTTTTAAAAGCGATAAAAGTGACCAGGGAATGATAAAGGGCCCACCCGCGCATCATCTTCGTTCAAATATGTACATATCAGGCATTAATATCGACATTGTTTTATGGTCCGTTAATTAAAGGCAATATTAGAAATGGTTTTTAAACGATAATATTTTGTTCAATCATAATACTTTATAATTTTATGCAAAGCTTAGATAAAAATACCTTAAAAATGTAACTTCAATGGAAAAAACTTCAATAAAATTATGTGACATATTCATGTCACTTATTACTTTTTATTGAAGATTACAGTGTGTTTAAACATTTTGGTTGGACTCTGTTCGATGAAGTATATTATGTTAAGACATAAAGGTCTATGTTAGTGTATTTTTGTTAAGATTTTATTTAATACTGTTACCCCACATATTCATTTATGCACTCATTCATTCATATGTATAGATATTTTTTTCTATTTGTTTTTCTTCAATCGAATACTAGTTAATAAATCAGTTCTTACTATCAATTATGCGACAGAGAAAAGTTTCTTCAACCTAAGGTTTGTCGTTTTATTAAAATTAAAAAGAGACACCACATTAAAGGGGGTAAGGTACTTCGGGAAAAACTTGATATCCCTAATTTTAGTGTACATACAAATGTCTTTGTCAATCGACCGAATAATAGGTGGTAATGACACCATTTGTATGTCCTAACGATTATGAGATTGATCTATCTTTGTAACCATACTATTGAAAGGTCAATTTCATGCATAAAATTAACTTTTCACTTTAATCTGGCAATATAAATCTCATTGAATAATACACCATGAACAACTATTTTATTTCTTTTTTATTTGAATTTAAAATACCATTGAAATGACGGGAATTATCTTTAAAAAACCGTACGATACCGATTAGTGAAAATAGTACAGCGGTGTTTATTTTTTAAACAGGAAACTTGAGAAATGTCAAAAATTCTGTTTTCTACTCCTTTCTCAGAACGGAACGGATTAACACGCGTCGTTTTTGAACTTTTGAACTGAAGAAAAAAATGAGTACAACTTTATAAAATTATTTTCAGCTAATACACTGAGCAAACAAATTATCTTTTATTTCTGTTATAATCTACAGGTAACAATATCATTATAAAAATCTCTACAGGCTTCATAATATGCGGTAAAATTTAATGTATCAATCACAAGCTTTGTTGTTCGTCACGCTCCTAGCTCTCATATCTTTGCATTATATCTTTTTTCAATGTAAGGTCGCTATTTTATGTTTATTTAAGCGTATAACATTTCATTAAATTTCATCAATGAATTTATAATTCTTTGTCAGTAGATTTTGAAGTATTTCAATATGCTACTCGTTATTTTTCTGAAGTGTCAATTAAGGTGTTCTTCAAGGAGAATTTTTACGTGCTGGTGCATTTTACATCCCGTTTAGGAATAAGAGAAAGTGCGAAAAAATCAAATACTTTAAAAATAATATTTACATACATATTGAGATGCAGAATATCAAATACTTTAAAAATAAAAATAATCCGTTGAAAAGTTCACTATCCGGAAATTATAGCGCCGAAAATTCAACATTGTTTGGTTTATTAGTTTGTTTTCATAAAGATCAGTTTTTTAATCAAAATTATGATTAATTCACTTTTCTATTTTTATTTGTTATTTTGTCATGAATATTGTTTGTCTGTTACATGGCATGTAAACGATATATTCTGATAGTCCATCTATGAAAATTTCTATTAAAACTAAGGTTGAAACTCTCCCAGGCAAGAGACTTTTGACGGTTTTGGCACTTTTAGATTTTGACGCTCACAAATGTTTTATGTGGGGGTGTTTCGGGGAGGGAGAGAAGTCAACATATTTCATATGACGTTATTCCAGAAAAATGTGTACGTACTGTAATTGATTCCATAAGTTTCATTATGTAATGTTTTTTTAGGAGAAATCGGGTACACCTTTCTCTACTGTATACATGACAAATAGGCGGGCTTGAATTCCCATTCGGAGTCTGTTCTTTTATAAAAACATTTGATTTAAAATTTCCTGTTTTATTTAGGTTCGCCATTACTGCCAGTGCCGCACGCATTTTCATTCTTAAGTAACATGAGAGGGAAACCTCGCCGGGGAATGTTGAGGAGAGCTGTATTCTCAGACATGCAAAGAAAAGGTCTAGAAAAGATGTTCCAAAAACAAAAGTACATTAGTAAACCAGACAGAAAGAAGCTTGCATCCAAACTAGGACTTAAAGATTCTCAGGTAGGTTCAAAAGTCATGATGTATTTTTGATAAAAGGAGATTGGGATATACACCAAAGAAACAGCAACCCAACAGCACAATAACGGACAAGATTGTCGGTTCATTCTTATGTTTGCCGTAATTATTTAAGATTTTTGTCCAGTTAACTACTGGGAAGCCCACATTAGTATTTTCATAAAATAAACTTACACGAAAATTGCAATATTATAACAAAATGTCAATGGCAGTTAATTATTTTTATGATTTACTTTGACGCCAGGAGACATTTTATGAATCTTAGGCTTGTTAATTAATACACATTCTTGGATTAGTTTATCATCAATTTGTAATAAGTTGTCACTTTCATATGCCTCTCATGAGTACATGAGCGCCTTTATTTCATCCGGAATAATTCTTAAGGCGCTCTGAAAGGATCCTTCAAATGGTCTCCAGCAGTTCACAACAATAACAGATGAAGTAAGGGAGACTGTCATAGATTCCGTTGTCAATTTTCTATAACATATTATAATAAGTATGAAACTTATAACGGAATGAAATTGACTAACTGACGGCAATTGAATAAGGAGCTGGCTGCCAAAGGGAAATTTAAGATAATCGTTAAAACAGCTGGTCCTGATATCTTAATGAGAAATTAGCAATAATAAAACAAATTAATTGTAATGATAATATAAACTGCCGCATAATAGAGACAGTTTGTCATGAATGCAGATTGTTTGTTTCTGTTTTGGTTAAAGAAGCTGGCAATGAAGTGTCGGGAGGCGTTCCGAAAAGAGTGTCAGCAGTTTCTTTATAACTTTGAAGAAAGAAAAACTCAAAGAAGTCACTTTTGATAAATGATATATCTTATTACGCCGTGACAGTTATGATTTTAAAAGGATTGAAATAGTTTTTAAAATCTCTACACTAACTTAAGAACGGACACGTACCGTTATGATATTTGTCTTTTTACGTATTTTTTTGTTGAAATTTTAAGACTCATTAATCGCTGGAAATTTTCTTGAACTCAACAGATAGACTTTTAGATTTATAGGAATACAATTTAAACTGTATTGAAACTTTTTTTTATCTTATATGATTTGTTTATAAATAATGTAGAGAAACATAATTGTATTTAAATTGACCCAAAGAAGCTGAGTTAATTGGACAAAACGTTTCAATGTTGAGACTCATATTTCGTCATTTGAGAGAACTATATCTTACTTTCCCGCATGAGCTACTGCATTCCGTGGATTTAATCCCGTTTGAGCAATGATTAAATTGTCCGAGAAATTTCTATTCGGAATTGTTCATAGAATCATAAGAAAAACAGAATATACTGCTTTAAATACAATGTTAAGTCATGATGACTTATACAAATGTTCGGCAAGCCTAGAATATAAAAAAATGACCATTTAACTGCTTCGAGCGGACAAGTATCAGACTCAACGGAGTATTGTGGTAGAACCTATATTCTAAGAAAAAATAAAGTAGTAAAACATTTATAACTACGTGTACATGTAAGGAAAACATATGGGTTTCAATGTTGTATTTTCATCATGGAGATGAAAGACAAGTGGTTAACGAACTCCACTTGTGTCATGAAATGACTAAAGTAAAAATGTTTGTCATTATATTATTATTAATAACACCTTAATGAATTCGCTCTTTTAAATTATGTTTAATTGTGTTTACTCAGAAGACTACACACACAGAAACCTGATTGGTTGTATGGTTGGTTCAGTCGCCATCTTGTTACTAGCTATCATAAATGTGTAATATGTATTTTAGTTGTTTTTATAAAGTGCAATATTGTCAGATTTTAATCACGCCACTATATTCATATAAAATGATATTTATTATAATAATTTCTTCCTTTTTAGGTAAAGATTTGGTTTCAAAACAGGAGAATGAAATGGAGGAATTCAAAAGAGCGGGAGCTTCTATCGTCTGGAGGATCACGCGAATCAACTTTGCCAGTTAAAGGAAACGATGGTCAAAATTGTGAACAGTTGCCCGTTTCAGACAGTAATGACAATGACAATTTAAATGATAGCCAAAGTTCCGAATGTATCAATAACTTGGATGACACAGACTATCCCGGATCCTTGTCTATAGACATGGATCATGCGCAATCTAGTTTTTCTCATAGTGACGATTCCGAAAGTGAGGACGAAATTGATGTGTCGTAAACGATCGACATATCATTTTAATGATCTCTACACAAATCTAGTCTTCGAAAGATATCATAAAGTGCCAATCAAGTCTAGTTTTTATTCCGATTTCAAATGTATTTATTTTTTTGAAATTATAATAATACATTTGTAATACTTTGAGTTAATGATTCGGATGACATTAAATAGTTATGATCTTAAAAAGCTTAAATTTTAATGCTATCCTATTAAAATTTCTAACAACTGTCGACGTCAGATGTCCCATGTGGGACTAGATACTAATAAAAGTGCTACTAACAATGGAACTTAGACAAATGTCCTAGCACAGTAATGGTAGTTTTTTAAATAATTGCTTTTATCTGTGATAATGATGTATTTATAAACTGTAAAATGTGAATAAAATGTGAAAAAGTTAGTTTTTATTTCTTTTGAATGATAGATAGAAAGAATTGTAGTCATCTTTTAACAAGAGGATATGATATCAAATCGTCAAATCTGTTGAACAACTGGTGTACATAACATTAATTTATGTTTTCAAATGAAGAATTATTTGAGAACAAAGTGTATACTAAATTTGTTACGCATTCATTATACAATCATATGAAAAGCGTGGATATATATCCTGCAATTTTTATTAAAGCAAACAAGTCTAATCTGACCGAAGCATATAACACATATCACATGTATTACAAATGATATAATATACAAGAAATAAATTAGAACTCAAACATGCAATACACATAGAAATCTAAATTATTATATTGAATCGGAGTCTTCTTTACTCAGTTATAATGATGACTGCTTGATTAAGACCAAAGTTGTTTTAACTAACAATGCATAGAAGAGTTTTGATGATTTCCCCCCTTTATACTGACAAGTAAATGATATGTTATCAGAAACATTCGCAAAAATACAGATGACAAAAACAATATTGAGAATACATATATTTACGTGTAGGTGTTCATGAACCTAACCAAAACAAATAATGTTTACGTGTACGTGTTCATGAACCTGTCAAAAGCAAATAATGTTTACGTGTACACGTGTACGTGTTTACTTAAAAGCTTGCTGTTCGGTGTGAGCCAATGCTCCGTGTTGAGACCGTACTTTTACCTATAATGGTTTACTTTTATAAATTTTGACTTGGATGGAGAGTTGTCTTATAGGCACTCATACCACATCTTCTTATATCTACAAACAAATAATGTTTACGTGTACGTGTTCGCGAACCTGTCAAAAGCAAATAATGTTTACGTGTACGTATTCATAAACCTGCCCAAAAACAAATAATGTCTACGTGCTCGTGTTCATGAACCTGCCCCCCAAAAAAAAAATGTTTACGTGTACGTGTTCATGAACCTGTCCAAAAACAAATAATGTTTACATGTACGTATTCACGAACCTGCCCAAACACAAATAATGTCTACGTGCTAGTGTTCATGAACCTGCCCAAAAAAAAAAAATGTTTAGGTGTATGTGTTCCTGAACTTGTCATAAATAAATGATGTTTACGTGTTCTGTGCGCGTTCATAAACCTGTCCAAAACAAATTATGTTTACGTGTACGCGTTCATGACCTTGCCCAAAACAGAATTTTATGATTTCTGTGAGTCAGTTTTGGTTGCTGTTTCTCTTTCTTTATCATCAAAATATTACGGATGTTCGTTGCTCACAATTACCACTTTTCTAACTCCTCTAGCTTTCTCCAAGACAGGCATTCAATTTTAGCGAAGTGTCCCCTATATTTATTGATCTTATTCAAAAACATATATTGAAAATCAACTTATGACACAATATTTTCAGAATCTTATTATTTGAACATTTTTTTATTCAATCTTACCTTTCTCTCTATACATTTCATATGAAAAATCAGGAAACGTATTTTGAACTATATAAATTTTGGCCTTCTTTTACTTTAGGGGTCCCAACCCATATACAGCTATACTCAACTATCCTTAACTCTAAACCTGACCCTAACCCATACCTAAACCTAACGCTAGCTCTAACCCTAAAACCTAACCCTAACCTACAACATCCCCTAACCTAACCATAACCATGAATGAACCCTAACTTTAAAGTATAGGGACCCTTAAAGTAAAAGAAGGCCTAAATTTTAATTTATCAAGTGATTGTAACCAAAAAAAAAAGTACAGGGACTTTTCGTTATTTTCCAAAGTGCTGGGTGTTTTAATTTAATGTTTATTTTTTGAAAAAGAATTTATGTATGATAATGCCAAGTTTTCCATTTGAATTGTAGCGACGGGCTCCTTAAATTAAATTTTAGTCGTCCCTGAAAGCTGAAATGTTTAACAACTTTTAAAAATTCGCTCGTTTGTATGTAAATGCCTTATCAATTAAGTTCTTGAAATGATTTGTTCTTGGGTATTGCAATATCAGCACGATTGTTGCTTGGTTGCTGTCTTATCGACCTTCACTCTATGTTCTGTTTATTTATAACAAATTAGAAAAAGAACAATAAATACGAACAGATATGTTTCCTCATATGCAGTTTTTCTTTAAAAAAAACACCAAATAAAACAAACGTATATTAAAATGACACATATGTGATGGAGACACACACACATGACGAATACACACGTATAAAACAGAATAATATGCAATGCAGACCTCAAGTTATTATAAGCAATAAATCGTTTTTGTTAAATGAAAGAATAGTTTATTCTTTTAATTTCTATATCTTATATACTTCACCATCAATTCTTATATACATGCTTGGGACTAAATGTTTTAGATTTACAAGTTTGGGGATACAGTTTTTTTCTAAACATGAAAGTTTTCAAAGTTGTCGATATACAGGTTAAAAAATTTTACGCATTGATTTGATTGTAAGCAGGAAATTTCAGAAAGTGAAGATTTTAACAGCTTAACAATGACACGGGATTGTAATTGCAATTAGAGTATAGTGACATGACATTATTCATTGTAAACAATTAAATATTAATACTCTGCTACAGATTTGAAAAACACTTGATCTTAAATGGATTAATTAAGGCGAGAAAAATAAACTTAACCATTAAAAAATACGCTTAACATTTTGCATTAAACATGTTTATTTCAAGAGATGTAAACAGCCACTAAAGGAGAAATCGTTTAACACTGAAGAGGCTTGAAAATGTGTGTTTTCCAAGTATATATATCTTTCGTGAGTTTCGAAGAATTCAATATTTTTGTTTTAAAAAATGTAAAAAAATATAAATAGATTCGTCAATTTACAGGAACCAATTCAAACTTAGGTAAAATATATCTCGGGTGTCCAAAAAGTGATTAATTTGATCTTTTTCATTAGGAACGATATACCTGGACTGGGAAAAAAAACAAAGCCCCTCAAGTTATATGCAGCATGGTGGTTCAATGTATAGAAAAAAAAACTGGATAGTAAATAATACATAAAAAGAATGACAGGGATCACCAAATAAACTGAATAGTACAACAGCCTACACTAGACTTCTCCCTCACAAAAAAACCAGAGTTAGACAAACATCAACAAATTGCTTAGAAAGCCAGATTTGGTATAGGGACAACATGTGGTGGAGTTAAACTAATTTAACGTGCCCCTTACCTATGATATCTAAACCGTATGTCGTCAATTTTCATTTAATAAACCTGCACAGTGCAGCTGCATCAAACAGGATAAACACTATCTAATTTTAAGAGATTCAAATTGTAAACTTTAATACATTTCATTTGTATCATTTGTGTGTGGTAAAACACTTTATGAATATGATTGCTTGTTAATGTGAAAGTATATTTCTTCTTTGTTCCACAACCATTAGTATTTTCCTTTTTATATTGTAATGACCTGGCAAAAATATACATGCTATAAAATAGCAGAATGGTCGTACAGTGCAAAACAAACACACATTGCATTATAATACTTAAAAAAAGATAGATCTTTACAACGACGAAAAACGTTATGAAAAAGGTACTTTACAACAGTGAAAAGTGTAATACACTATTATAGGTTCAAAAAGTCGACAAAAAGGAGCGTGATGTATCTGTCACTGAAAAAACTTTTCGCCTAAAAAAACCTAGTTAATAAACATTTTTGCAACAAGAAAAAAATGTACACGCATAAATATAAGTAGGCACAAGCCAATATAACTATATTTTAGATAGAAGAAATCGGTTATGATAATTATATCTTCAATATGACGTATTCACCTGATCAACAACAAAAACAAAATCTGGTAACAAAACAAATAAAATGTTAGATACAAACCCTTTGGTCTTATTTGTCTTTGAGATCAAGTTATTCTCCATAGTGGTAACATAATGCTCAATTTGATCTGTTATGTGTACAATAATCTAATTAAAAGGGACTATTTGGTTTAATGAAATCGTATCACCTTATAATACCAAGGTGAAGTGTCGTTAAAAGATTCTTTTAGTTAAAAATAAATAAATATTATAACATGTACTTGACCTCTTCTGTTAGCCCTTTTTAGATGCAAACTACGGGGTCAAATAAGGGAAACATTGATGTAAAATTTAAAAAGAAAAAAACAGAGAAGAAACAACGACCCCTCCTATAAGAAAACACAAACAAATAAATAAAAGACAAACACATACAAATAAACAATAAAACGATATTGTGTAGATATAAAAGACACAAATCTACAGAAATTGCAGTTTCTAGCAATGTTCATGCATTCGTAAATTGGTTACGTGCTCAGAAATATGTCACAATGTTGTCAGAACTTCAAAGTATATACATGGAACTGTCATATAGCGAAGTTAAGTCAAGATTTCAAGACTTTTTGAACATGACCTTTCTGTGAAATAAATTCATGGGAAAGTGGCCCTATCTCTTTTGTTAATGACACGATTTTCCTTATTTCAAAGAAATGATTCTATAATGGTATTATATATATATATACATAACCAACATATATACTTCCATATGAACTGTTAAAGTAGAACTGGATTTTTCGAACATAAAGAATTTTGAAAAGGAAATCCTGCTCCACTTTAACAGAATTAATATAAAAAAGGGGAAATCCTGCTCCACTATAACAGAATTAATATAAAAAAGGGGAAATCCTGCTCCACTATAACAGAAGTAATATAAAAAGCGGAAATCCTGCTCCACTATAACAGAATTAATATAAAAAAGCGAAAATCCTGCTCCACTATAACAGAGTTAATATAAAAAAGGGGAAATCCTGCTCCACTATACCAGAATTAATATAAAAAGGGGAAATCCTGCTCCACTATAACAGAATTAATATAAAAAAGGGGAAATCCTGCTCCACTATAACAGAAGTAATATAAAAAAGCGGAAATCCTGCTCCACTATAACAGAATTAATATAAAAAAGCGAAAATCCTGCTCCACTATAACAGAGTTAATACAAAAAAGGGGAAATCCTGCTCCACTATACCAGAATTAATATAAA